CTTTGAGGCTTACTGGGCGTAGGAAAGACACCGTAAGGAAGCCTCTTAGGGTTTTACTTAATGATAATAAGACGAAAAATATATTTCCGGAACAACTAGAAAGACAGTTAGGCGACCATTTAAGCGATTCCCATCCGGAGGCAGGTTGGTATGATATCAAAAAGGCTGTGGAAACAGCAGTGATATCTTCTAGTAAGGTAAACCATAAGGCTAGGATGAAGCCTTAGATTTCAGTGGCATCCACCGATGGATACTCGAAAACTCACCCCGCCCGGCTATGAGGCGATGAGGAGTGGAGTCAGCTAAGACGTAGGCTGAAAAAAAGCCTATGCAATGATCGAGAACAGTGGTGGGTGGAGAAAGCGAGAGAGATGGAAAAGGCAGCGGTGATAGGCAACAGTAGGCAACTCTTTAGACTCATCAAGGAAACTGGTATTAGGAATGCTAGTGTGAATGAGACTATCTCGGAAAATGATGGGACTGTTATTTATTCTCAATCCAGGAGGCTGGACCGATGGGCAGAACACTTTACGGATCAGTTCAACTGGCCTCGAGCCACTCTTCGATTACCCACGATCTCCAGTCATCCTGAATAGCGAATAGAGGTAAGTCCCCCTAGTCTTAACGACGTTGAGAAAGCGTTAGGAAATCTGAAACGAGGGCGAGCTGCAGGTCCTGATAGACTGACCCCTGAAATATTTAAGGATGGTGGTCCAGTTTTAGCAGCTAGTTTGACCGAGATCTTAGGTAGAATCTGGGAACTGGACGTAATCCCATCCGACTGGTCTCAATCACTGATTGTCCCAATCTATAAGAAAGGACAGAAGTCTTCTTGTGACAATCACAGAGGAATAAGTCTAACTAATATAGTATCTAAAATATTGGCCTCAATCATGCTTCGGCGCTTAGCGAAAGCTCGTGAAGAGCAGACTATTGTCAACCAGTCTGGTTTTCGACATGGACGTGACCACATCTTCACACTACGACAGGTCTTGGAATCCAGACACACATTTACTCGTCCTATAATAATTGTTTTCCTGGACCTAAAAGCGGCATCTGACTGTGTAGATCGTGAAGGCGTAGACCTTCTACCAGGAGGCTCGCTAATTTACTTAGAATATGCCGATGACATAGTCCTGCTTGGTGAAGACGCTGACAAAATGCAGAGTCTTCTGACTACCATAAGCAACAATGCAAGCATGTTCAGGATGCGGTTTTCTCCCTCGAAATGCAAAATGTTGCATCAAGACTGGGTTGCATCGGCACCTGAACTAGTGATAGGAAGTGAAGTAGTCGGACCTCTTTATACTTGATATGTATTTGGGATAAAGGATTTGTCGTAATTATTACGTTTTACACGTTTTACACGTTTTCAATCATTGCAAATTCCTTACCGTATGATTCAAGAAAGAATTACTTTACAATATTTACAATATTTAGAAAAAAAAGGCGAGAAAAAAAAAGACGTTATTGCATATTTGTTTTATTTCTCTTTACTTTTATTAAAAAAAAAAAACAAAAATATAACCTCCGTACAGGATTATCAAAATCATTATACAGCGAAAACATCATCCACAACAAATGTAAATCAATGGGCCTGTTTAATTCAATTTATTGAACGTGTTATTGTGATTTGTGATCAAATAAATCAGAAAACAAAATCTTCCTCTTCCTCCTCGTCCTCTTCATCATCATCTTGCAGCAGACAAATTTATGTTCAAGCTGGTAAGTTCAATTTTGTACAATGTTCAATTTCAGTGAATTATTATTTGTTTTTTAAAAAAAAATTTAAATATTCTGATTACATGTTTTTTTTTTACCTTACTGCGGGCACAGACCAATAATCTTAGATAAGAAAACCTAAACAATTTCTCACTACAACCATGATTAATAAAACCACACTCAAATCTACTAAATCAAGTGTTTAATCTATTCCTAACCCTGACACTATATTTAGCACCTCAACAGCCAAACATATATACATATATTACTAACCCAAGAATAACTAATATAATAAAAACCACTAACACAGTAAACATTTAAAGCTTACTATCCACTATTCAACGGGTTAAAGTCACACTAAACATCCTGGGACTAAGAATCCCATGCTTTCTATTTAAGCTACCGTTAATCACTCTAGCACAAAGCACACTTACCGAGGAAAACAATTAAAGTCTTACATTTTACTATATCGGAGTAATCTGCTACAGCAGCCCTCTCGGCTAACAACTTAGTCAGTTAGTCCATTCAAATGGAACCTTAAACACCCAAAGTTTAAATTATATTAATCTTAAACTACATAACTGCAACCGTTTACAGAAAATCTGAATGTTTCATCTTAAGGTTAACAGCCTTACAATTTTTATTAATCTACATAAACCGCCGACAGTACTCATCTTTATAAACCAAAAGAAACCACTAAATATAAAAGCAACAGAGTTACTCCATAACATCAGATAGTATGAACATAATAATCATAACGTAAACGTACTACAGTCCCACGTATTCACGCATATAATACTAAATGAAATAACACAATTATAAAAAATCCACTTATAAAAATAATTGACGACAACCAACTAAACACAAACATCATTAAATATTCACAAGTGGACTGAGTCATATTGGTAGATGTAGGCTATCTGGTTTGGGGTCCGTGAGACGAAAGTCACCAATAATGGTTAGAGACCTTGAATAATGACATGGCTCAGAATCGTTTGCAATGGCGCAGGTGCATCCACTGTTTGTGTGCTTTTTAATTTTAACCTTCTGAATTCATCATAATCTCTATCTTTCTCTTCCTAACTTTATCTCATTGCATAAAACTTTTCGAATCATATCTTCACTCCCTAATCTTCTGCATTACTGCTAATAATTCTACTCTCGCTATCACTGTTGGATTTGAACTGACAGTTATGTCTCTGTGATGACGTGGTATGGCAACTTTAATTGATGTACTTATTTTACGAAGTTCTGCGTTATATGTGTCTGTCCGTCTGTCTGTCTGAAGTTTTAGTATCTGCTTGATGTTGTTATCAGTGCATACACTTAGTTGTACATGAATTAATTACATTGTATTGATCAATTCGTAAAATCTAATAGTTGATTAACAGAATAACTTCCATGTAACATTGAATAAATTTATGATCAAATTAGATTTGTTTTCGTTTTAGTTTTCCACATGCACTAATCAATTGAGTTGAGGAATATAGATAGTTTATTAGTTAACGAGCTCAATGAAAAAAATATATAGACATTTGGTAGAGATTGTTATTGCAAATGATAACGATTGATTGTCTAAACCAAAAATGTATCTATCAAGGTTCAATCAACACTTTGACTTTAGTGATTGAATGAATACTGATGTCTTGACCGACTAAGCTGCCATCTCAGTGTAAGTAGAAAAAATATGATGATTAATTTTAGAATCTTAATGTATTGGTTACCACCTATCTAACGATGCAAATATTGCGGTGAGCGCGCTACTTATAAGTAGTATATGACGCGAGTAAAAACGTAATGTATGGCAGCAGAAGATGGGGGAAGATCAAGAAAGGAAGAGTTAGAAGAACACAATGAAATTTGTATGAAACGCATGAATAGTGAAATATCAGACAATGGATTGATGATTGGTTGAAGATTTGCAAATTAACCGTTACGATATGGGTTTTCTTATTTTACCAATTAACTCTGTAATTGAGAGATAAATACAATTCGGTTTCCCTCACCTGTGTTCTCCTTCGCTACAATATGATCGACCAAATAATCACGAACACTATGTAATTAGCCGAGAATTGTATTCACTCTAAGAGAACCTTTTGGTTGGAAAGTGTACTATTTACATGGTTTGTCATTTTGTATATCTTTTGAAGACAAATTTCATCATTATCATTGTCACCCCGACGAAGTAATGCCAGCTGATGGAAGTTTTAAAATCATCTGTTTCATTACAGTTCACCACTCAACAGTATTGCACCCTTGTGATTGAATAATATATAGGATAGAAAGATTTTCCCAGTGGTCGTTGAGTCCAAATCTGCTGATTCATGTTTTCCAACTTCTGTCAAATCAACAGCCACATGGAACTTCGTACATACGTACATCAGTTCATGTTGCTATACCACATTAGCACAGAGACTCCACTGTCAGTCGAATTCCCATAGTAGTAAAGGTAGTAGAAGTATTAACAGTAATCGGAAATTTTAGGGTTCGATGATATTATTCAATGATTAGAATCTAGGGAAATAAACTTAAGAAGAAATAGATCAAGGTGATGAGGAATTCTGAAGGTTATTATTTGACAGAACACAAATAATGAGTGCACCTGCACCATAACAAACGATTTTGGACCATGCCATTTAAAATCGCGAACCATCGAATACTATCATCTCGCGGACCCCAACCAGGTAGTCGACAACTACCGACATGGCTAAGTCCACCCGTCAATGACTTCATAGATTTCTGCCATGCTTTGGTTTGGCCGCCACTAACTTTCTTCCAACCTACTCCTACACTACAAAACAAAGCTCTTCGAGGCAATCAGTGGTTAGGCATACACGCAGCACATGTCCCAACCACCTCAACTGATGAAATGTCACTACTGTGTCTATTGATCTGCCATTCTTACCTAGCATCCGATTCCTAACGACAGAATTGCTTACTCGGGTATCCCACGATACACGAGCAATGCTTCGAAGACACCTATGATCGAAAACCGATGACCTACGAATATCTTCTACTCTCACTGGCCATGTTTCACAGCCATAAATTAAGACGGAGCGAACTACTGCGCAGTACACTCGTCCTTTAATCAGCAAACGGTTATCTCGCCTTCGCCATTAGTGACGCAACTTGGCGAAAGCCAATTGAGCCTTCTATATCCGTGCTGGGATTTCGTCAGTCACCAGGCTATCGGCACTGATGAGACTCCAGAGATAAGTGAAGCGGTCTACACGTTCGACTACTTCACTCCCTATTACTAGTTCAGGTGCCGATGTAACCCAATCTTGACATAACAGTTTGCATTTCGAAAGGTAGATTTCGTTAGTGTTAATAATGCAAACAATAAGTATAACCAAATCAGTTTTCCACTAAACTGATTTATTTCTACAGTTAACCACCTGTATTCAGCTATCTCATAACAGTCAATTTTGTTAAGTACTTGTAATTTGCAGTTAGTAGTAGGTCACACGGTAGGATCTCTCTTCATTTCAGTTTGCAGTAATGGGGTAGTTGATATGCTTTAAACTATTAACAATTCACCTTACTCAGTAAATGAAACGGAGATAAATGATGCAGTGACACGATAGGCTATTTTAATTCGACTGTCCCATACCTTGCTAACTAGAGCCTGTAGTCTTGACACGTCGTAGAGAATGTATTCTACAGAAATCCTAGAAAATACGAGGTTGCTAAGCATAGCATTCAGTCTTATTTATACAATGGTCGAAACTCCCTTAGAAGAGCCACAAAATAGCGTAATAAAATAATCCATCAACCAATCACGGTCAAGGATTATTCCGAGTGGGGAATGTAAGCTAAAGGTCAACTAAGCGTCTCTTGGCGCGAAAACACACGAAAAAAAAAATCAAAATTTCAGAAATAAATTACAAAACTCTAGGACCTTTTTTCAACTTAGTTTTGGGGATCTAGTGTCCCCAACAGTAAGTAGTATCACTAGTCGCTTATACATGAAGTATCGTTTACATCAGTCAAGGACAACGTAAAACATGACTATAATACCATGCATCACCACAGCGACGTTAAAATATCCAAATGTAATTCAACGTCATTCTCTGATGGATTTAAGGTCATAAGTCATCAACTATTTTTTGCCCTCACTGATTGCAGCACCATTTACAATTAGGTGTTCAAAAAGTCGGACCAAAATAATTGATCATGTACATCTGCATTTATGGTGTGTAATCTCATATTTTAATTGATCAATCCTAATGGGTTTTGATTAATGTTACAACATAATGTATATCGATACTGTTAGACAGGATTCATTATTAACATCATATTTTGTCCAATATTATTATTATCAAATGTTTGTTTTTTTTTTCAATTTGTCATGTGTTTTCTATTCTCGGAAAGCAAAAAGAACAGAGTATTATTCAATCAGTTTTGTATATTATCAACACTTGTTGGTTTTTATGCTGTGGTGTTTATATTTTCTATAGATGTATCAAACTCTACTTCAATTATTATTATTATCATCATCATGATCATCATATGATTGGTACATTCACTTAACTGATACTGTAACTAGCTCCCGACTGTAGCTGCTACCTTGACGTGATGATCGGGCTTGCCTATCGTGATGATCCAACCGAGCTATATTGGCTGGTACTTATGTTCCTGTAGGTTCTACCACGCCAGTCAGGTCGATTGGAGAACGACCACACTAAAAGCAGCTACTCAAGGTCTGAGTTTGAAGTCGTACTGTTGACTGACTGTGGATGGGTGTGACAGAAGTAAAGTGTTTCCCTCAGATAACCAGCATCTGCAGCGATGCTACGTTCTCAAGAGGAAAGAAGGGACTAGAAATGGTCGACCCTAAAAATGTCACACCTCACCCCACCTCACGGATTTCGGTCTCCTTTTAAACAAGGATGGCAGATCAATAGATGAAGTGGTGAAACTTCATCAGTTGAGGTGGTTGGGACATATGATATGTATACCCAACCACCGTCTGCCTCGTCAAGGTACGTTTTGCGATGTAGGAATAGGTTGGAAGAAAGCTAGGGGCAGCCAAATCAAAACATGGCGGAAATCCATGAAGTCACTGACAAGTGGACTGAGTCATTTTGGTAGATGTAGGCTACCTTGTTGGGGTCAGCTGGACGATAGTAATCAATGGTTAGAGACCTTGAACGACCAGGCTCAGAATCGTTTGCAATGGCGCAGGTGCATTTACTCTTTGTGTTCTCCCTAATTCTAAACCTTCCGAATTCCTCATAATTTCTATCTTTCTCTTTCTAAAGTTATCTCACTGAACTATACTTCTTGAATAATGTCTTGAAATGCTAATCTTCTACATTACTGCTAATACTTCTACTATCGCTATCACTATGGGATTTGGACTGACGATTGCATATCTGTGTTTTCAAGACACGCTTGTGTTATAGCCATTAGGTGATACTTATACCAATGATTATATTTCGACTGATTTTATGCAAGTTACTTATGTCTCTTTTTTCGTCAATATAAAAAAAACTAATTTTTTTGGTAGAATTAATCGCGTAGATTGCATGTGACAGTCGGTTTACACCAACGAATATGCTTTGAAGGTTTTTCTTTCAACGTGAACTTTTATCTCAACTGCGATTTATCAACTGGATGTGCCTGAATATATATATATATATATATATATATATATATTCTTCCTTGTGTATATCACACTTCACACTTCATTAGCGTACGTAGTTAGTAAAATCATCATTTCTTCTCTAAGTATCGGTTCGTTAAATGTTCAAATCGGCTTTTTCTATTCATTGACAAACAATTTATTGGTTTTTTTTCCTTAAGTTACTGTATATAATAAGTTTGTTTCTTTTTGAACCTCTTTCTATCTCTTTACTAAAAATCCTAGCATTACATTGTGGATCATGTATATCTGGTTTTGTGTCCAGTCAACATCCAGTGTTCACTTTGTGGGGTGAACCATTAGAAACATGTCGTCAGTTATTATCAAAGCATCAATTGAATCATTTAACAGCACAACATTTTGTATTGGCTACAGATAAACTGATAAGTTTAATTCCTTCAAATCTATTATTGAACTCTGCATCACATCTTTTGGCTGATCCACAAACACCTGCTGCTGTTGATAATAATAATCAATACTTATTCACTTGGTGTACTATTGATCCGTCCAATGGAAAAATTATATTATCCACTCAACTTCAACGTTCAACATCATTGGTGAAAATGTCAACTGACGACCAACCACCGTTTATTGATCGTTTACTTCATTTTTGTACTGTTCGTTTGAATGCCAACACTACTGGTACCACTACTACTAATAACAACATAAGTAGTAATTCAACAACTCATGTGGAATCAACTTCTGAATCAAATAAACAAGTTTATTCTTCTTTATTCAATACATATAATCAGCCTACATCTATGATGTCTAATAATCCGGTCACAAACGATATGATATTATTTCAGACTACTACTAGTAGTAGTAGTGGTGCTGTCAATCAAAAACAAAATCATGTACGTTACTTGTGTTATGTGTTTAAAAAGGTTAAGATGTGATTTCCTGTTTCAGAATTATATATAACTAAATTTATTTGGATAATCATTGGAAAACCGGAAACTATTTACTGGTGGCTGTCTTAGCATCTAGTGTTCGGTTCCATATCTCAGTACATACTCATGACTCGATATTGATAGGAATTAAGGTCGTTGCGGTTAACATCACCGGGTTCGGGTGAAATCATATGATCTTTTGTTGGATGCCTTAACTATGTGTTAGGATATTCATCCAATATCCTAAGAGAATTATTGTTTAATTGCTACTGGTTAATTTTATGGTTGTCCTGACTATCATTGTCACTTCAACTATTGCTTCCTATTGGTCGTCTTAACTGTCAATATCACAGACTTCGATGCAGTTTCCTGTTCGACCAAACTGTATAAATACGCATTATCTGTAACGTTTTATGACCAGGACCCGATCCCGGATCCCTAGTCCAGGATCCTGATTCTCTTCTGGACTCGGACCTCGTACTTTCTGAATGCTTGTAGAATACAGGTTCTACTTCATATCAAGTCTTCTTATTTTTACTCAATATAGGGGTTGGGATAATCGGATTTGAGTAGCATGTCGTGTCACCGGATCCTCGATCCTCGCTCTCGTTTTTCCGACTAGGTGAACTCGTAATAGTTCAAGTATATCAAGATGACGTGTTTACATGCAGGCGTAACACTATGAATGTTTCCAGTGTTTCTACTGAGTCGTAGTTACATAGTTCGCGAATGCAGAGAAGTTCCAATTTCCATTCACGCAATATTCCAGTATATTGATGTACTGATTATCGTTTTGAAGTGTTACACATTTATTCCAATTTAATAAATTTATTTGATTTAATTCTATAAACCAAATAAATTTTACAGTGATTCAACATTGTTTATCATTAGAAATCGGTTCAAATATAATGTATACGCAAGTTTTATGAACAGTAACAAACTTGTGAGTGTTAGACAAGAACAATTTCATACAAATGAGAGAATATAATATTTATGACTGAATTGCATGAACAATGCATATTTATGAAATTGTAAAATCTGCCTAGAAAAGTGTATTATTGGTTAGAAAAAAAGATGGTATGCGTCTATGTGTATTATGTGATTCATTATTATGTCACAATTGTCGTGAAGTCTATTTATTTTATTTAAGACAGAGTTATCCTGTCATGATGTAGTGGTAGTAGTAGTAGTGAATGGAGAACACAGGTGGGGCAACCGAATCGTATTTATCTCAAATTACAGAGATACTCAGTAAAATCGGAAAACCATATCGTAAATCGTTCATTTGCAAAATATCAGTTCATCATCATATCGAACTGGACTGTTCCTGTTGCAAAACATCAATCCATTGTCACTATTCATGCGTTTCATACAAATTCCATTGTGTTCTTCTAACTCTTCCTTTCATGATCTTCCCTCATCTTCTGCTGCCAGACATTACGTTGACAATCACGTCATATACTACTTATAAGTAGCTCGCACCACAGTAGTAGTGAGAAGACTGAGGTAGGCGCAATAGATTGTATTTAGCAAATTTACACTCTTAGTCAATTAAAAACGAAAACATTACATTGAACACTCCATTTGCACACCATCTTTCAGTCCTGACTTCCAACGCTCCATCCTTCTTCCATTCCTGCTGTTTGTTGCTTCCTTTCCTTCCTGTCGTTACTCCATTTACTTCTTGCTTTTGCTCCATTTGCTTTCCGTTTTCCTCTTCTGACCGTGAGAGTTCTTCTTTCACGTCCCTTCTTATACTACTTATATCGTTCGTATAAGTAGCACACACCACAGTAGTAGTAGTAGCAGTAGTACACATTTCTACCTCGAATACATTCATGTCTTCAATGAATATCATATCAATGTCAGAGAAATAATATTTTCTTTCTGAGCCTGTTTGTTGATTATTTTGTTTTATTTGTTAAAAGGCATGTAATCCAATGAATTGCAATGAATTGTCGACTAATTATTATTATCGTCCTAATAACAATTCACATTTACCAATCACTGGTGACAGTAAGAATACCAATAATAATAATAATAATAATAATACTGATCGGACAACATCTGTTCTACCTCATCGATTAGTATTTCATACATCAAATTCTATTTCATCCAACCCCGCTGAAGATTCTTTATTGAAATTATCGGCACCGCCTCCGCCGTCGCCCACAACAAACACAACCGCAACTGGATTAGTAGTAGTTCAACAACCTATGGTAAATACTATTGAACAGATTGATCATCATCGACGTAAAAGTCAATTGAATGTTGTTGCAAATCAGCCTGTCATTATACCGACTACTCAGTTTTCCAATTCAAATTTTTCGCCGCTCCAGCCACCGCCACCACCTCCACCACCACCCCATCAACGAATTTATCCTTCTACTAATAATAGTAGTAGTAGTAATCATGAGAACACTAACAGGAATACAGAATTACCGGCTCATTCACATATCACGACCAATTGCAGTATGACTCAGTCACCTGTTCAACTAACAACTACTGACACAGCAGTTGTTAATGTGCAAAGCGTTAACATTCATGAAATCAAAACATATTGTCCACCTTATGTATTGGAGAATAATTCTAAGCAGAAATGTGAAATTCCGTCTTCAAATATTATTCATAAATCATGTGAAAAATATCAAGGTAAGTGTTGTGGTATCACTTTTATGCTTCTGTTTCTTTAAGATTATTTTTTTCTTAGTAGTCGCTTCTTGAAATCGCTTTTTTTATTTTCAATTCTCGCATCCGAATTCAGTCAGTCGGTCAGTCAGATGCAACGTAGAACTTCGTACGTAAGTGCATCTGTTCATGTCGCCATACCACATCAGCACAGAAATGCAATTGTCAATTCAAATCCAATAGTAGAAGAGGTAGTAATCGAAGAGGTTAGGATTAGAAGATATTATTCAAGAAGTATGATTCAGTGAGAAAAGATTAGAAAGTCGAAACTAGAGGTGTTGAAGAATCCAGAAGATTAGCATTTGAGAGAACACAAAGAATAAATGCACCGGCGCCATTGCGAACGATTTTGAACCATGTCGCTCAAGGCCTCTAACCATCGATTATTATCATCTCGCGGACCCCAACCATGTAGTCGACAATTACCGACATGTCTAAGTCCACTTGTCAATGACCTCATGGATTTGTGCCATGTTTTGTTCTGGCCGCCCCTAACTTTCTTCCAACCTATTCCTACACTACAAAACAAAGCTCAACGAGGCAGTCGGTGGTTAGGCATACGCAGCACATGCCCCAACCACCTCAACTGATGAAGTGTCACTACTGCGTCTATTGATGTGCCATCTTTAAATAGCACCCGATTCCTAATAACAGCATTGCTCACTCGGGTGTCCCACGATATACGAGCAATGCTTCGAAGACACCTATGATGGAAAACCGATAACCTACGAATATCTTCTACTCTCACTTGCCATGTTTCACAGCCATAAAATAAGACGGAGCGAACTACTGCGCAGTATACTCGTCCTTTAGTCAGCGAACGGATATCTCCCCTACGACGCCATGTGTGACGCAGGTTGGCAAAAGCCAATCGAGCCTTCTGTATCCGAGCTGAGATTTCGTCAGTCACCAGTCCATCAGCACTGATGAGACTCCGCAGATAAGTGAAGCGGTCTACACGTTCGACTACTTCACTCCCTATCACTAGTTAAGGTGCCGATGACACTCAATGTTGAAGCAACATTTTGCATTTCGAGGGCAAAAGACTCTGCATTTTGTCAGCGTCTTCACCAGGTAGGACAATGTCATCGGCATATTCTAAGTCAATAATCTAGCGGGATCCAGTCAAGTAGAGATTGTTCAGATCTGCGACTCAATGCTATGCCTACGCCAGTAAGACCCCTGGAAGCAGAATCAGGGCTTCCATATACACGAAGAGTAAATCGAGCTTCTTCTTTATTTTGATAAGGTGAAATCAGAATAATAATTTTACTAGGATCCTGTATGCGCGTTTCCGAGACGCAGCATACATCGATGGAGCGAGATTCTAAAGTCCTAGCTAATGATGCCTGTTGTCCTATTTGACACAATGTCCGTACATTAAGAGCTCCAACATGTAGTGTAGAACGGGGTTTCAAGAGACCAGGAACGCCGTTTCGCAAACTCGTGTCGTCTACATTAGCTGTGCACTGTTATAAATGAATGTGAGAAGAGTTAGTCGTGGAGAGAAGAGAGGTATGTGTGGGTGTAGGAAGGATTTGATTTTGACCAATTTGGTCTCGCGTGCTGTTACGGGTATGAGGGCGGTTGTCACTTCCCGGCTGCCCACACTGTGGAAGGTTGTTTCTTGAGGGACCTGAAAAGGAAGATAGATTAGTGTTGGCCTTAGAGACCTGGGTGCGTGTCCGGAGAGCCCAAGGGACAACTGCTTGAGGCCGGTCACGCACGGCCTTTTTATGAAAGGTTTTTTTAGTATTAGCTCAACTCTTAAAGGCTCTTAGTGGGCACCCTTACCGACGGTGACGGAAATCCGTGAGGTAAGGTGAGGTGTGACATTTTTAGTGTCGACCTTTGCTAACCCTTCCATGTGAGAAGGCAACATCGCTGCAGATGCTGGTTGTCTGAGGGAAATACCTTACTGCTGTCACACCTCTCTCAGTCAGCAGTACGACTTCACCCTCAAACTTTGGTTAGCTGCTTTTAGTCTCATCGTTCTCCAGTGGACCTGTCTGGCATGGTAGGACCTGCAGGAACACATGTTCCAGCCAATATAGCTCGGTTGGGTCATGACGATAGGCAAGCCCGACCACCACGTCAAGGTAGCAGCTACGGTCGGGCATCCGAATTCTATTATATATCTTGTCTCAACGTGGATAACAGTACACAATAATGTATATATATATATATATATATATATATATATTATATACTCAGACTGCTATATGAACTGGACGTTAAGCAGTGAGATGGTTTCTACGTAACAAACTTGTTTTTTTTTTCTTGATGTTGACAACGGGCGTAAACATTTTAGAATAGAATTCATTGTTTTCAATCTTTGTTACTCACATCTGTCACCCTCAAAGGGAGCATAGGCCGCTGACCAGTATTCTCCAACCTACTCTTTCCCCGGGGCTTCCCTTTCCAGTTCTGTCCAATTTTTGTTCTGGTGACTGAAAATACTTTTTTTTAAAAAGGCACTCTATTCACTAAGCATTCACTCAACTAAACTGATCAGTTAGTGAATATCATTCTCACTTTCGCGGTGAATAACACAGACACACATTTAGGCGTATGACAATAGTTGTTGTTCCTCTCGTTAATTTTACTTGCTATCTTTGTGTTAACGTGTGAAAGTTGAGAACTCATTCTTACTGCATTCTGCCTTTGATCTTGTAAGGTTTGTCACTAAGGTACGCTTGAAGCTATTACGAGTTCACCTTGGTCGATAAACGTGAATGAGACAATTACCAGCGTCCAGATAGGCTACCTTGAATCCTAAGCTGAAGATAAAAGGCTTTGTAAGCGTAGAAAGTATATTCTACAAACACCCAGCAATCACACAATACAATCAAGCACACAACTCTCGTTTATTTACACAACATAGAAACGTCCTTGAGACAGTTAAGAAAACAGCACACTGAAAATACACAGCAGCCAATCACAGCCATGGATTTTCCTGATGGGAAATGTGAGTGATCTCAAGGTCAACTGATCAGTCCCTGCTCGCAAACGTGAAATCCAAATAATAAGGCATTTATCAAGCGAGTTTTGAGGATCTAACATCCCCAACAGATCTACCTTTGAATAAGCGATAATACCTTAATTTTTCTTTCCTGTTAGCATCGATACCATGTATGTATCCTTAAGCTTCATTCAGATTCATGCATTTTCAAGGCTATTTCCTATTGATTGGAAATCAAATTCTTAGACTGTTGTTACATCACAACAACTCCACGCATATTTAAGAGTCAGTCATCTAAGAAAAAAAATATTTAACCGAAATGGGAATATGTCAATATTTTTAATTGTTTGATGTGTCTATTTTTATCATCTAAGCTAATATTAATGATAATAATTATTATTATTATTTTGATGAATTTATCTATTTCTTACAAGAAAATCCTAAGCCCCAAACTTTATTGCCTCAATGTGTTGAACATTCTATTATTACAAAGAATAAAATCTTTAGTAACGTTAGTGATCATCATACTACTGCTTCAAATACACCACCAAATCAATCGTTATTGATGAAACCTGTTCGACCAAGTAGTTATTGGCCAGTTGTATTACCGAATGAATTATTGTCATCAGATCAATTACAAACTAATCATCCTAATAACAATAATTCATGTAATAATAAAAAGGTAAGTTGTTTGAATTTAATGCTTATCTAAATTATTAAATGTTTGGAATAGTTAAATAACTGTCGATCACTCCTCTCCAATATTATAACCAATGAAGCCTAGAAAAGCATATTTAGATTTATTTTATAGGCCAAATTGAAAGTTTATGTCTACTTACTTACTTACTTACTTACGCCTGTTACCCCCGAATGGAGCATTGGCCACCGACTAGTGTTTTGCAGCCAACTCTGTCCTGAGCTTCCGTTTCCAGTTCTATCCAATTGTTGTTCATTCTTTCTATGTCTTTCTCCTTTTCTCGGCGTAATGTGTTCCTTGGCCTTCCTCTTTTCCTTTTGCCTTGAGGGTTACATGTGAGTAAAATCAGAAGACTTGATATGAATTAGAATACTGTATTCTACAAGCATCCAGAAGTCCGAGGCCCCAGTCCAGAAGAGAATCAGGATCTCGGACTGGTGATCCGGGATCGGGTCCTGGTCATAAAATGTTACAGATAATACGTATTTATACATTTTGGTCGAATAGGAAACAGCATCGAAATCTGTGACATTGACAGATAATAAGACCAATAGGAGGCAACATTTGAAGTGACATTGATAGTCAGGACAATCAATAAGAAATAACATTGGAGCACGTCACATTGATATCTACTAGGACGACCATAAAATTGACCAGTAGGAATTGACCAATAATTCTTTTAGGATATTGGATGAATATCCTAACAGATTCCTGATGAAGTTTTGAATGTTCATTATTGATTCCTCATACTGAGACCAATCATCTGCATAGTTTTTCCCTAGTATTCAGTAGTGATGTAACCAGTGGTATTATTTTATCTGGTTCATCTGTACATGAATAACTAATAAATAGTACGCATCCACGACCCTGACAGCCGAGGACTCAGGACCTTCGGTATGACGCGTGACTATACCTAATCTCTTGCTAATGAATCTTATGCTAGAATGAGACAGCAATCCAATGCTTCCAGGTTTCTAATATTGATCAACTCATGATCTTAACAATTTTACCCAACCTTATAAGAGTTTATTTATTTGTTATTTTTCTTCCCCTTTACTCTAACAGTCACCTAGACCTTTATCAATTGGTATAACAAAACATTTTGATGAAATACTATCAAATAATTTAAATAAACCACTTGTTGAACAACCATTATTATTGTCATCATCATTATCATCAAAAAATATCAATAATGAAGATGGACATCATCAACATCAGCAACATCAACAACACCATCGACCGATATCATTATCATCAACGGATTCATTTTTAGCTGCTGAACGTGCATGTGCTTATGGTATTATAGATCAAGATGAAGATATTATGCCTGTTATCATTAATCATTCTAATAATGCTGTCATAATGAATAAGCCGAATAGTTTCAATGTGAATACTCAGTCAATTTATGATTGGGATCATGTACAACATGTGATGAATCAACTTCCAACAATTCAAACTAGCAATAATAATAATCAAAATATTAGTTTTGCTAAGAATCTACATACTTTCAATGGCATTGATAACGGCGACATCGATGCGGACAACGATGGCATTGATGCAGATGATGAAGATGTCGATGATATTCGTAAACATGCTGAAATAAATGATCATGGTACAAGTCATCATAATCCTTTGTATACTGATAATGAGTAAGTTATTGTATTTCATTTATGTGATTGTTTAAAGGGATGAATTAATGTAACATTTTGGGGTTGTTGTGAAGATTGTTAAGTTACACATTTTTGAAACCATGAATCGATCAATGTTAGACCAGCACTATTAGAAACCTGGAAGAAGCACTGAGAGACGGCCGTTTCGTCCTGGTATGGGACTCATCAGTGGCAGTGCGTATCCACGACTCCTGCACCCCGCAGGATTCGAACCAAGGACTTTCGGTACTTCCAGGTTTCTAATAGTGCTGGTCTGACACTGATCGATTCATGGTTACAAATAATGTAACATTTGTTAATAATAATAGTAAAGGTATCATCATATTGCTAGATATGCTTAGTACCCATTGATACCTGTGAATATTTAAGTGTGATGTTTGTTTTATTTTTGACGGGAATATGATAATTTTTTCATAGGCGATAATCAAGAATAGTTCATAATTGTTTTCTAATCATAGAATTCCATTGAATTTACTGACATGTTTCATGAGACATCATCATCATCGTCATCATTGTTATGCTCATCACTTGATCTGCTTTGAAACTATTACGACTGTTCACCGTATTCGGTAAACGTAGAGCGAATAAAAACGATCCAGTGACACGGTAGGCTACTCTAATTCGAGCGTCCCAAGGCCCAACTAAGTAGAGGAAAAAGTTTTGATATGACATAGAAAGTGTATTCTACAAGCACCCAGAAAATATGAGGTTGACAAGCACACAAATCGAGTATATTTATACATCACAGAAACATCGTTGGGAGAGCCACAAAATTCGCGTACCAAAATAATTCATGAGCCAATGACAGTTAAGGATTTTCCGAATGGGAAATGTAATCTCAAGGTCAGCTGATCATTCCATGCGCGAAAACACAAAATCCAAAATTAGGACCTTCATCAAATGAGTTCTAGGGATCTAACGTCCCCAAACAATCATACATTCAGTCTGTTGCGCAGTTGTTTATTTGTGTATAATAGTCACCTGTTTGTTATCTGACGACGACTATTCAATGTATTAAAGTTTGAATTACGGTTCACATTGGAGAAATTGTTACAGCACTAACTAGTCGTCACCTACTATCTGCAAACATTACATAAGTATAATAAATTTTTTTGTTGTTGATCAATTACTTATACTGTCAGTCACACATTTTGTGGGGGGCGAAGACTATTTCCTTTTCTACTATACTTTACTGTAACAGATATGAATCAATGGCAGAGAGTCAAGGTAATTTATCCGATGTGATCAACTATTCAGAAATCACTAAAAAATCTCATCGGAATTCTCGTCCAGGTCTATTTGCCATATCATCATCACAAATAGATCCTCGTGATAGATTTGTTTATCAATCGTCAATCATACAACACTCGCCGTTAGGTGTTAATCAACCAATGGAGAATCATAATGGTGACATTGACGTTTCAAAGAAATCAGTTAAAGATTCAAAAACATTGTCAGTAATCAATCCTCCTTCATCATCTAATATTATACAGAAGTTTGTAGAAGCTAATGGGCATTCTATTCACACAAATAATCATAATAATAATATACATTTTCATGGTGTCAGTCAACCAATACAAAAGTGAGTGGTAGTGTCATTTTCACTTCTCTCATCTCTATTATTTTTATAACTTCAATCAGTCAATCAGTCAGTCAGTTACAACGTAGAACTTCGTATGTACGTACATCAGTTCAGGTTGCCATACCACATTATCAAAGATACGCACTTCGAATTTCATAGTGGTTGAGATTCTAGAAGTATTAGTGGTAATAGAAAAGACTATGGTTCGAAGAAATTATCCAAGAGCCATTGCAAACGGTTTCGATCCATGTCATTCAGGGTCTCTAACGATCGATTACTATCATCTCGCGACCTGCAACCAGGTAGTTGACACCTTTCGGCATGACTGAGTCCATTTGTCAGTGACTTCATGGATTTCTTCCATGTTTTAGTCTGGCCGCCCTTAGCTTTCTCCTAAACCACAAAACCATAGCTCGTCGAGGCAGGTAGTCAGTGGTTGGGCATTCGTAACACATGCTTCAACCATCTCAACTGATTAAGTTTCACTACTTCATCTGGTTTCATTTAACAGAGTACAATTCTATTTTCTTTTTCAACCAGTTTACTAACTGCCTCTTCATTCCACTGTTGTCTGATTTATTTTATTAAAAGCTGTCAGAGAAAAGTAAAATTCACTTCATTAAATCGTTTCTAATAATAATAATTCTTTACTCTTTTTTATTTCGTTTTTTTTAAAGAAATTTATTCGATTTTCCCGATTATCAACGTCCATCAAGTCCTGGACCTGTGAAACAACAAGCAATTCACGTTACGGATAATGAAAAAACTGACTATACGAGAAAACCACCGCCACAACAACAAATCATGTCAACAGCTAATAGAAGTAGTATCAATCATCAGCATCATCATTCATCTTCACCTCGATCAACATCTTCATCTACAACAGGTCATCATAGTTCATCAATCAGCGATCGACAGCGTCATTTGTATGATAATCATAATGATGACAATAGAATGACAATGATGAGACAGAACAAGATGATGACGACGAATAAAACCATTGTGAATAATTCACAACAATCTCCACAATCATTTCAATCGAATTCACAGTCAGATCAATCTCAACGAAATCATTTAATTGGGAATAAAGCAACACCGACAACAACACCAACGCCAACATCACATTGTATCGATCAAATTATCATACCGAATATATCCGAGACAAGAATGACACAAGTGAGTAGTGAATCATTGTTTAATTTTTATGACCTATATATACTTACCGTTTACTTTCGCCTGTTACCCCCAATGGAGCATAGGCCGCCCACCAGTTTTCTCCAACTAACTCTGTCCTCCTGGGCTTCCTTCTCCAGTTCTGTCCAATGTTTGTTCATTCCTCTCATATCTTTCTCTAGTTCTCGGATAAGTAATGTGTTCCTTGGCCTTCCTCTTTTCCTTTTGCCTTGAGGGTTCCATGTGAGGGTTTGTCTTGTGACGCAGTTAGGTGCTTTTCGTAGTGTCTGTCCTATCCACTTCCACCGCTTCTTCCTGATTTCCTCCTCCACTGGAATCTGGTTTGTTCTCTCCCACAGTACGTTGTTGCTGATGGTGTCTGGCCAACGAATCCTCAGTATTTTGCATAGACAACTGTTAATAAATGACGGATATATATATATATATATATATATATATATATATATATAGTGATGTCTAATTGTTATTGTTTTAGAAAGTAATTTATTAGTCTAAAATACAAAGAAATGAATCGGAATAGAAAGTCATTGATTTTTATTTTGTTGTTGGTGGTGATAAATTATTATTAGTCTGACGAAAGCAATGCAAATCGATAATATATATATGGATAGGAATTTTTATCCCCACTACTTCATAACACACACACAGAAAGCTGGATTGGCTTTTGCCAACCTGCGTCACTTATGGCGTATGCGTGATATCCGTTCGCTAACCACAAAGGACGGGTGTACTGCGCAGCAGTTCGCTCTGTTCTCCTATATGGCTGTGAAACATGGCCAGTAAGAGTCGAAGATATTCGTAGGTTTTTGGTTTTCGATCATAGGTGTCTTCGAAGCATTGCTCGTATATCGTGGGACACCCGAATGAGCAACGCTGTTATTAGGAATCGGGTGCTAGGTAAGAATGGCAGATCAATAGATGAAGTGGTGAAACTTGATCAGTTGAGGTGGTTGTGACATGTGTTGCGTATGCCTAACCACCGACTGCCTCGTTGAGCTTTGTTTTGTAGTGTAGGAATAGGTTGGAAGAAAGCTAGGGCCAGCCAGACCTAAAGATGGCAGAAATCCATGAACTCACTGACTAGTGGACTGAGTCATGTTGGTAGATGTAGACTACTTGGTTGGGGTCCGCGAGACGAAAGTCACCGATGGTTAGAGACCGTGAATGGCATGGCTCAGAATCGTTTGCAATGCCGCAAGTGCATCCATTCTTTGAGCTCTCTCAATTCCTAATTTTCTGAATTCGTCAGCACTTCTACCTTTGTCTTTCTAACCTTATCTCACTGAATTATATTTCTTGAATAATATCTTCTAATCCTAACCTCTCCGATTACTTCTAATACCTTTACTACCTCTACTACTATTGGATTTGAATTGACAATTATATCTCTGTGCTGATGTGGAATGGCAACATGAACTGTTGTACATACGTACATACGAAGTTCTACGTTGCAACTGACTGACTGACTGATACACAACACAGTAAAAGTGATTGATAATTTTTTTCAAACTAAATCAAACCTAAGAATGTAGAGTATAACTTTGTATAAATTCAGTTAGAAAATAGATAACGAACGTGTGATAATGCCTCATCAAATAATTTAATACTGATTGACCAAATTCAGATATCCTATTTCGACCTGGGATACTGTTCCCAAATCTTTGATATATCGTAACACAACATCGTTAGATGTAAGTTGTTTACGGGGTTGAGTATAGAAGAAGAATAAAAATCAGGCATAAAAAAATATTAATACTTTACTGACATTGCATATTTATACAGTTAGGTCGACCGTGAATATTAACCAATAGGAAACAACATTTAAAAGTATGTGAACTTGATAGTTTAGAATGACCTTAAATATTGACTAATAGGAATTGACCAATAGAAGTAGACTCACAGAATAATTTCTTGAGGAGATATTGTTTGATAAATAGAATTTTTAAGTTCATTTCTTTCCCCTTTTTCTAACGACTGTAGCATTCAGAAGTACTTTTGTTTGTTTTTTTATGCCCCTAATATGAATTTCTCGTATATCATTTTAATTTTATCATCAATCAATGTTTATGTGTGTGTGTTGGACGTTATGTACAAGAGTTTTCTCAACTAGTTCAGTTATTCGATCAAATTGACAACTCTGTTAGCTATAAATACTTTACAATTTTACTGATCATGTTTCATAATAAAGTTAAAATATGCCTGCATCATTCAATCATACAAGTAGGTTACCAGTTATTAGATCACTTCGTGATTTCACTGAAAATCAATAGTCTTCATAACTTCATAACTAGTTTTGTTAGTGAAACATCGATTGGCTTAAACCATGATTGAGTTGTTGCATGTTGATTGGCTCTATCGTATCCAATCAGTGCTAGCCGATACTGAGGGAACATTCTAGAATCTTCTCAAACAAGAAAACTATAAATATACTAACATCGTTTTCCTTTGTACCTTCTGACTTCCTTGTAACCTTGTTATTGGAATATGATCTGCTTTTTCCTGTTCAACCGTGTTCTGATTTTTGGAGATCGTCTGGAGTGAATTGGTGTCCGAGAATACTAAGCATTGAGAATAGATGGGTTGTAATAATGAGAGAATTATAACGAGTTTGTAGTGTTACAAATTCCCAACCACTGACTGCCTTGAAGAGCGATGTTCTGTGATGTCAGAGTAGGTTACAAGAAAGCTAACAACGGCCAAACCAAAACATGGCATAAATCCATGAAACTACTGACAACTGGACTGACCCACGTTTTTGGCAGATGTGGACTACCTTTTTGGGATCCACGAGACAATAATAACCGCTGGTTAGAGACTTTTAATGACATGACTCAAGATGGTTTAGAACGACGCATCTATTACTTGTCCTCTCTAATGACCTAATGAGCTCGAGACCTTTTTTCTCTTTTTAAATTTATTTCACTAGATTATACTTCTTGAATCATTTTTTCGAACCCTAATCTCTTCGACTACCGCTAATACTTTTTCTATCTCTACCACTCTGGAATTTGAACTGACAATTCTCCTCTCTTCGCGCTTATGTGATATGGCAACTGGGACTGATTTACGTAGTACTAACAAAGTTCTGTGTTCCACCTAACTGACTGACTGACTAGTTTTTAGTTGAAAATTTTAACTGGTAGACTTATACATTTATAGGTCACGATGTGTTTTGATTACTATTATCAGTGTTCAGATAAACATCAATAGTTAGTGCTATATCCTAAATTTTTTAACATTTAACATATAGAGATGCCTGATGTCTAGACTGTTGAATTATGTCAGCTAACCTGACTCATCTAATGCTTTTGTCTACTAATGCATATGCCTGATAAATGTAGATGTGTAGTGAAGGAGAACACAGGTGGGGCAACCGAATTGTATTTAATGAAAATTACAGAGTTACTCAGTAAAATCGGAAAACCATATCGTAAATCGTTAATTTGCAAAATATCAGTTCATCATATGGAACTGGACTGTTCCTATTGCAAAACATCAATCCATTGTTACTATTCATGCGTTTCATACAAATTCCATTGTGTTCTTCTAACTCTTCCTTTCATGATCTTCCCCCATCTTCTGCTGCCAGACATTACGTTGACGCTCACGTCATATACTACTTATAAGTAGCTCGCACCACAGATGTTGCATTATGCTCAAGGAATGTTTTAAGCGCTGTTGTAAACGTACGTGTGTTCGCTAATCGTTTCTTGACATGAAATGACTAACTCACTAATTATTGTGATTCAGATAGATACACATTGGGCCCATTTGCTTTTGATTTGATTATTACCGACTGACATGTTATCGACTTTTTATGTCATACACGGTTTTTTAAATGTTTCATTGACGTTTGTTGTTGAATTTTGTTTTCACAGCCTATGGAACGTTATGATATTCCATATATATCACATGAACATTTAAAATTGAATTCTTCTTCTTGCATAGAACAATCCGAATGTCAAGATGCTGAATATATTGGCACTGCATCACTTGAACCATTAAGTATGGCTGTTTTAACTTCAATGACAGAAGATGGTAGATAATACTTTGCTATATTATTATTATTATCATTATTATTATTATCATTATTGGAGACTTTACTCATAAAGACATTGTAACCAAGTCGAGGGAATTCTCTCAGTGCTAGTGTTTTGAGTATACAGGATTATAGTTAACGCTGCTCAGTGATCAGTCATCTTAAACATCTCAATTACAGAGACTTCTTACGCGCTTTGAATAATAATTCAATGTTAAGGTTTACAACTATGACACTAGATGAAATTTGATAACATAGTCTGTATCAAGTTACTATAAAAGATCTTTTATTTCTATACCCGAATCAGATCAGTCAGTCAGATGCAACGTAGAACTTCGTACGTAAGTACATCAGTTCATGTCGCTTAGGGTGGGCAGAAGACTGCATTTTGTCAGCGTCTTCAACAAGTAGGACTATGTCATCGGCATATTGTAAGTCAATAAGCGAGCCAGCAGGTAAAAGGTCTACTCTTGAAAATTCAGACGAGGATAAGGTTATTTCTAGGAGCATGTCTACGACACTGCCACAGAACCTCACGATCTACCGAGTCAAATGCCGCTTTTAGGTCCAGGAGAAAAAACTATTGTAGGACGTCTAAATGTGTGTCTATGTTCTAGGACCTGTCGTAGTGTGAAGACGTAGTCTATACAACCACATCCAGGTCGAAAACCAGCTTGGTTTTCTCGAGTTTGAGGCCAATATTTTAGATACTATATTAGTTAAACTTATTCCCCTGTAATTGTCACAAGAAGACTTTTGTCCTTTCTTATAGATTTGGATAATCAGTGATTGAAACCAGTCGGATGGGATTACGTCCAGTTCCCAGATTCTACCTAAGATCACATTCAACCTAGCTGCTAAGACTTGACCGCTATCCTTAAATATCTCAGGTCTATCAGCACACTCGAATCATATAGTTGATTGAAAAAATCAAGAGTAAGAACCATTTATCGACTGATTAATTAAAGCATATTGACACAACTCATTGACAAATATAGAGAGGTACATTCCTCTAAACAAATCAAGTCATAGTATATGCTTAACACCATGAATATATAAACAGCTATAGGTCAGATATGTGTTCAATTTTATTTAATCATTGTCAAAATCATCTCAACTAAACTTTATTCATGTATTTGGTTCCAAGTTTCAGAATAGACTATCACCTACCGAGCACACTAACATGTTATAAATACTATTACAAATTGCATCATTTCAATTCTTATGTAAGAAAAAGTATATTTTTAAAACAAATTAACCAATCAGTTAAAGATGTATAATAAATATTTTTCCATTATCTGCCTCTATCAAAATAGGTCTTACAAGTTGTGACGCTGAAGAGCTTACAGAAGACGATGATGCAAATGATTGCCTTGATTCTATGATTGATAGTAATGTTTGCTTGCAACATCAAGATATTGTTGACAATCTACAACATTTAAATGATCATTCTGCTAATTGGTTCGCTTTATGTAAAGGTGGTTGTGGTGGTGGTGATCATCTAGCGAATGGAAACAATAAGCATAATGGTGTTACACTTAGTGCTTCTACTGATGATGTTGAAAGTCTTACTCATCATCATCATCCTCATCAAATGACTGACAGTTTACTAGCTAATCCAGATTTAGATGCAAGAGATTCGGAATTAGGCGAAGATATTGATTATACAACTCTAGGACAAATGGAATCTATGCATTCCGCCCACCACCAAATGAATAATCACGATAACTTATCATCATCATCATCAGCAGCAGTTTATCATAAAACAAAATCAAATCATCCAATAAATATGAATTATCTAATTCTATCAAATAATAAAACTTCTTATAACAACACTAAACCCATTGAAAATACTAATAATAATAACATCATTCATAATGATAATACACATATGTTATTAGAAGCAGCTTTATTGTCAACATCTACAACACCTTTATCACAATTTGATACTTCCATAGGTGAAAGCCATTCATTCATTCGTGATAGTATGATTAACAATAAACCATTGATTGATAATTCATCAACTAATATTGATTTCGGTGATATAACCAGTGATGAAGTAAGCGCTGACAAAACTAAAATTCAATACAATGTTGTTGTGGTTTTTTTTTCAAGTTATGATAAGTTACTTATAAGTAGTGTAAGTTATATTTGTAAAAAAGTATATCAAGATGGATACGTGTGTCATATGATTAGTTGATAGGTTTATGACTGTCGAAAAGCTGTGTTTTTGAAGTTATTGTTTTACCATGGAAATGTGAACTTCAGATCAAAATGTAATTAATAAAGTTTACTCGCTTAAAAAACATTTAAGAGAATGTTATATATGTATTTGTTGTATCTGTACTTGAATGTATAACAGTAAATAGCAAGTGAAGAGTTGAGCTAGGTTTTTTTCCTTAAGATTAGCTGGTATACATAAAACAAGAATATTCGTAGATTTACATATGGCTTTGATGATATCATTAAAGCTTCTGAAAATACACTCAATCAGCTACAATGTAGAACTTCGTACGTAAGTTCAGGTTGCCATACCACATTAGCGCAGAGATGCAACTATCATTTCAAATCGCATAATCGTGGAGAAAGTAGAAGTATTAGCACAGTAATGGCGAAAATTAGGGTGCGAAGTTATTATTCAAGAAGTATAATTCGGTGAGATAAATTTAGAGAGAGAAAGATGGAGATAATGCGGAATTTTGAAGACTAGCATTTAAAAGCACACAACGATTGGATGCACTTGAGCGCCATTGCAAACGATTGTGAGCCATATCGTTCAAGGTCTCGCGGACACCAACCAGGTAGTCTACATCTACCAACATGACTCAGTCCACTTGTTGTCAGTGACTTCATGGATTTGTGCTATGTTTTGGTTTGGCCGCCCCTTATGTACAAATCAATGTGTCTTGTCAATACAGTAGTTACTGTATTTTAATGGTAGCAGTCTCAGAAAGCCTTTTTATCCTATATCCATCGGTATGTTAAATGCATTTTGATGCTGTGATCAAGTTTCACAATTATTTATATGATACGTGCTATAAAATTTCATTTTTTTCATCTGTTCATTGATTTTAAATACTTTTTTTTCTTTCTTTCCCCATTCTCTTCTCATTCAGTTGTATATTTATCATCGACGTATTGGACAAGAAGGAGTTGATTATCGGACTCATGATAATACTGACGAACCATCTTATTTGTCTAATATTCATCAATCCAAAAAAATACAATTTACTCAAAATACTGAAGTAAACAATCGTTCTAAATGGAATAATTCTTCTAATGAACCAAGCACTTCAAAATCACCATCATCATCATCACATCCAATAAAAAATATTACACGTCCATCATTACCAGAAATAGCACCAGTTAGTTTACCTGATTTCTCATCACATTCTCATCGTTTACAAGCATCATTTAATAAACTGCCATGGTATTCAACATCATCTGAGAGTAGAGATCATCAAGCCAGCAGTAATCATCCGGTTCGTTTACCGTCAACGGAAACATCATCATCGATCAATAATACCAGTAAAAAACAACACCAACACCACCACCAACAACAATTAATCAATCGAATGGATTTCATCTCAGATTATGATAATCTTTATCCGAATTCTTCATTTCAATCAACAAACAATCAATATTACTATGATTGTAATCATCTTCAAGCTTCAAATAGAATTAACAATAATAATAATAATAATAATAACAGCCATAAACATACTGGTTCTTCATTGAGAACTACAACAACATCTAAAGTAATCGCTACTACTACTACTACTACAACTGCTACTAGTAGCAATAATTCTTGTCATACAGCAACAGTAATGATAGATCGTCCAGCTTTAAGAAAATTAACTAAAATTAATCAACCTCGTACAAATTGGCCATTGATAATTACACCTGGTGAAGAGAGTGATGCAATGAGCGGGTTAGTGTTTTGTTCTTTTTCTCTCACGATTATCAACTATATGATTGTGTTAGCTAGAGAGAGGGATTGTAAACAAGACAATTCACATTCCTCAGTCTATAATAAGGTTGAGTCGAATTGACAGTCAGTCAGTCAGTTGCAACGTAGAACTTCGTACGTAAGTACATCAGATCATGTCGCCATACCACATTAGCACAGAAATGTAATTGTCAATTCAAATCCAATAGTAGAAGAGGTAGTAAAGGTATTAGAAGTAATCGGAGAGGTTAGAATTAGAAGATATTATTCAAGAAGTATGATTCAGTGAGAAAAGATTAGAAAGTCACAACTAGAGGTGTTCAAGAATCCAGAAGATTAAGATTTGAGAGAACACAAAGAACACAAATGCACCTGCGCCATTGCAAACGATTTTGAGCCATGTCATTCAAGGTCTCTAACCATCGATTATTATCATCTCGCGGACCCCAACCACGTAGTCGACAATTACTGACATGTCTCAGTCCACTAGTCAATGACTTCATGGATTTGTGCCATGTTTTGGTCTGGCCGCCCCTAACTTTCTTCCAACCTATTCCTACACTACAAAACCAAGCTCGTCGAGGCAGTCGGTTGTTGGGCATACGCAACACATGTCTCAACCACCTCAACTGATGAAGTTTCAGCACTTCATATATTGATCTGCCATTCTTACCTAGCACCCGATTCCTAATAACTGCGTCGCTTACTCGGGTGTCCGACGATTTACGAGCAATGCTTCGAGTCAAATTGACAACAATGTTTAAATCCTAATGAATTTTTTAACATAGTATAGTGATGTTCTCCATTACTGCGCTAATACTTCTACTATCTCTAACCACTATGGGATTTGAACTGACAGTTGCATCTTTGTGCTGATGTGGGCTATGGCAATTTTAACTTATGTGCTGATATACGAAGTTCTATGTTGTAACTGACTGACTGACTGAGTGTAGTGAACAAATATGTCAAGACCAGAGAGAACAGTTGATACATTTAAAGAAGACAGCTTATTAACAAAATGTGTTTACGTACATCTTCAGATTTGATTCACATGTCTTCTGATCTTTGACTGCACCATGCATTCAGCTCTAACACTCTTCACTCAATTTCTGGGCGATACTCCACTGCATACTACTTATAAGTTCAAGTAGAGATAATAGCGTCTGTGAGGTGGTAAAAATACGTCTCAATACATTACAGATGGTTTGATTGATGTAAGTGATATTTTGAGGAAAAAATAATAATAGGAAATGACAAACCTTATGTTTGTGGAATATAGACGTAATTAAAGCATGACCACGTTGCTACCGACCGAAGCTGCTACCTTGACGTGGTGGTCGGGCTTGCCTATCGTGATGACCCAACCGAGCTATACTGGCTGGAACACATGTTCCTGCAGGTCCTACAATGCCAGGCAGGTCGATTGGAGAACGATGAGACTAAAAGCAGCTACCCAAGGTCTGAGGGCGAAGTCGTACTGCTGACTGACTGTGGAGGGGTGTGACAGCAGTAAGGTGTTTCCCTCGGACAACCAGCATCTGCAGCGATGCTGCCTTCTCACAAGGAAGGAAGGGTTAGAAAAGGTCGGCCCTAAAAATGTCACACCTCCCCTACCTCACGGATTTCCGTCTCCTTGGGTAAGGGTGCCCACTAAGGGCCCTTAAGAACGGAGCTAATCCTCTAAAAACGTTTCATAAAAAGGCCGTGCGTGACCGGCCTCAAGCAGTTGTCCCTTGGACTCTGCGGTCACGCACCAACACTAATCCATCTTCCTTTTCAGGTTCGTCAAGAAACAACCTTCCATGGTGTGGGCAGCCGAGAAGTGATAACCGCCCTCATACCCACAACAGCACACGAGACAAAATTGTTCAAAATCAAATCCTTCCTACATTCCCTAATACCTCTCTTATCTCCACAACTAACTCTTCTCACATTCATTTATTACAGTGCACAGCTAATGCAAACGATGCGAGTTTGCGAAACGTCGTTCCTGGTCTCCTTAAACCCCGTTCCAAACTACATGTTGGAGCTTTTAATGTACGGACATTGTGTCAAATAGGGCAACAGGCGTCATTAGCTAGGACTTTA